CTGTGTTCATCCAGCTCTGCACCTTGTTGTCTTGGATTCTCCAGCATCTGCAGTTCCTACTATCTCTGACATAGTTAGAGCTGTCCATTCAATAGGTGCTCAGATGTTCAAGGACCTCCAGGTTCCTGCCCACACAGTGGGACACCAATTTCCCCAGTCTGCCATGTCTGAGGCAGTGCAGGGCAGCTCCAGACTGTCAGTGCTTATCAGGGTGTTCAACAGGCTTTTAGAGTTGGAATGGGCACAAAGCATGCCAGCTGATTCAGGGATATCTGCTGAATGGTGGCTTGTTTTGGGATGGGCACATAGTAAAAATGTGAGCAATACCTTAGAGACAGATTGGTAATGGATGTGGAAGGTTTGATAAGAGATGGTGAGAGAGTATTCTCAGTCGCACGTAGCAAAACCCTCTAATCTCCCCCTGTTCCTGACTTGCAATCTCTCTCTTGCTCCCTCCTGTTCTGTGCCCCAGCTTGTCTCGAGCACAGAACTTCCAACCTGAGCATAAATCCCATGATATCTCCCAGCAATTCCGATCATGACAGCTTCTAGTGATCAGTGGTCCTATCACCAACCCTTCTTCACCCTGCTCTCTCTTTCTAATCTTCCTAAACCCTATGTGATTTTATTTGTGCTCAGTGCAAAAGATAAGGCTGAAGCATTTGCAGCAATCTTCAGCCAGAAATGCAGAGTGGATGAACCATCTCAGCCTCTTCCAGTGGTTCCCAGCATTACAAATACCAATCTTCAGCCAATTTGATTCACTCAATATGATATGAAGAAATGGTTGGAGACACTGGATGCTACAAAGGCTATGGGCCCTGACAACATTCCGGCAATAGTACTGAAGACTTGTGCTCTGCAACTTGACATTCCCCTGACCAAGTTCTTTCAGTACAGTTACAACAATGGCATCTACCTGGCAATGTGAAAAATTGCCTAGCTATATCTTGTACACAAAAAACAGGACAAATCCAACCCAGCCAATTACCACCCCATCAG